ACCTCTCCAAAAGTGCCAGACATCATCAAATGCTGAGCATTTGCCCACTCAAATTGGTTACAGTTGGTTATTTGAGGAGGACAAGTGTCAGATGAGCTGCCTTCAGACACTCCTGACAGATCTGCAGAATCTCTCTGGTTCTGTATTGGATTTTTGCAGCAGCGCTATATCAATGCTTTTCTTACTGAGAGAGTTTTTGTATTGTGTTTTAGTCCAAATATTTTACAATCTTAAATCAAGAATTGAAAGAAAAAAAACTCCGAAGCTGAAGAGGGAAGGATGAACACCCGCAGTCCTGTTCTCTTGGTTTTTATCCAAACGCACATCACAGGTAACACTCCACACCTGGTCCAAACGGCAAACACGGCAAAACACCGCACCTGTTCAAAACTCCAGAAGAATACCAGATCATGGAACACCTCCATCTAGTGGACACTCACAATGTCAACTAACACTATAGCCTGGTTTATACTTCTGCGTCAAGTGACCGGCATAACCCACGGCGCATGCAACGCGCGCAGCTGTGCATTTATACTTCTGCGCGCTGTCTCTGTCGGTCTGCATTAACACTTCCGAAACGCTAGTGGGCAGTGAGGTGTAAATGTTCCTCTGTGTCGAGTTTCCTCGATGCTGTTTTGCTTTTCCTGAACACTTCCTGGATGTACAAGTGGCTCAAACTCGCTCATTTTGAGGCAGGAACCGGCGGACATGCAACAACTTTAACTATGAGGTAAACACAAAACATAACTTTCCATCTGGAGCTCCTTCACGGGACTCCACACTTGCAAACAATCGCTCCATTGGGCTCGCTCCATTCGCGCGGCTCTCGGTCCCGCCCAGACTCGTCAGTGCTACCAAGCCGACCAATCACAGAGCTTGCGCTACGCGTTGTTATGACGTGTAGTTACATTTTTTGAGAGGTGCACGTCAGTGATGCCGACGGCCACGTCGAAGGGCTATGCGTCAGAGCTGTAGCATACGTCAGCGTTTGACGCAGAAGTATAAATCAGCCTTAACTCTAACCCTAACCCCAACCTGACAGTCTACTTATAATCTAATGAGAATTTGTTGGCATGTAGATGCAATGTACAGTACTTAATTCAACAAACGAACCATCAAAATAAAGTGTGACCCAAAATTCTGTGCAGAAATAGCAAAAAATGTCTGCAGATTTGCTTTGGCCCTAGTAATATGGCAAGTCCTTGTATAACAGTTTGTCCTGTAGACAATCCAAAACAAATATTGCTTAAGGGAGCTAATAATGTTGACAATTAAAAACTGCTTTTATTCATTCATTCATTCATTTTCTTGTCGTCTTAGTCCCTTTGTTAATCTGGGGTCTCCACAGCAGAATGAACCCCCCTTCCAGCCGCGACCAATCTCTGGGAAACATCCACACACACACACACACACTCAAACACTAAAGAGAATTTAGCCTACCCAGTTCACCTGTACCACATGTCTTTAGACTGTGGGGGAAACCAGAGCACCCAGAGGAAACCCACGCGAACGCATGGAGAACATGCAAACTCCACACAGAAACGTAAACTGAGCTTAGGCTCGAACCAGCGACTACCTACTTCCTACTGCGCAATTGCTTCGCCCTCACTGCTTTTATTCCAGCCAGAATAAAACAAATAAGACAAATAAAACAAATAAGACAAAGAAGACTAAATATTATAGGAAATACTGTGAAAAATTCCTGAAAGACAATGAAAGACAATAAATGTCAAACCCGTCAAGCACATCAGCAGTTGAGAAAAGTACATCTCTTATCTTTACCTAGAAATTCCAGTCATTGTACAGAACGAGACTTTTTGCAGGGCATACACGTTTGGGTGCTTTTTCACCTCAACTATCAGACCGTTTTGAAACTGTAGGCCACAGACAAATCTGTCTCTTATTGTGACATTTAGTGTTGTACCAAACTCACAGTGCTCTGACAATTGCTTCGATACAGCAACAAATTGTTCAATTGATTCTCCCTCTAACTGATTACATTTATAAAAAGTAAAATCTTTCAGAGATAAGGAGGAGTTCTGGTGCATAATGTTCTTGCAGCGATGCTACCATATCCTTAAATGAGCAATCACCAGGCTTATCTGGCTGGACCAGACTGCGTAATAAATTATACGTCTTACTGCCTATAACACTGAGGAACGTTGGTACCAAATCCCTCATCTTTTATTCTATTAGCTTGGACGAATTAATCAAATTGCTCCTTAAATGAGCTCCATTGCTCTACAGCAGGGGTCACCAATCTCGGTCCTGGAGGGCCGGTGTCCCTGCAGGATTTAGCTCCTACTTGCCTCAACACACTTGCCTGGATGTTTCAACTATGCCTAGAAATACCTTGGCTGTTTCTCAATTCCAAGAACGCAGAGAACGGACTTGCGTTCTTGTGGAAACCGGTCTTGACAGATGTTCTCGGAAGAACTAACTCAGGAGACCATGAGAACAGAGAACGCGTCCTGTGAGAAATGAGATGCTGTGTTCTTCCTGATGGTCATGTGACCTTCACGAGTTTTAAATGGTAATATATTTAAACATTACAGCATCCATACAACAATTGATTGTTTTTCTCCTTTTCAAAATATATACTGTGCATAAAAAATTATAAATATACACTGCACAATATAAAGAAAACTGATTTTAATACAAATTTCAGCAGACAAACACCCTTAATGTGTTTATTCCTTTATTAAGATAATGTTTACTCTCGCCGTTTCATTTAGGGAAACTCCTGAGCTAAATAAGTTAAATCTCTGAACTTTAATAATAATCTAAATAAAATGCTGCGCTTCCCACCTCCAGTCGACTTCTGGGACTACCAGAGCGAGTTCGGTGCTCAAGTCTGCATCAGTGCGTCCTCGATATCAAGAACACATCTGGGAAGTTTCACGCGTCCTCCGTTCTTGCGGTCTTGAGTATTGGAAATGAACTTTGGCAGCTGATGATGACGTTACACGAGGACACAAGACTGCTGAAGAACGCATATTGAGAAACAGCCCTTGATTAGCTTGTTCAGGTGTGTTTGATTAGGGTTGGAGTTAAAATCTCCAGGACAACGGTCACCACTGCTCTACAATTGGTCCACAATTGGTCACCACTGCTCTACAGTTTCATCATATGAGCCGATTTGCCCAACAAGACCAGCTATTTCTTTTCGTCTTCTTTTGTTTCTTTTACTCACTCTCCTTTTTGTAGTTGTTGCTTTCCTTTCCTTCCGCTCCGATTTAGCAGGCGCAGGATCTCTGATGCTGCGTTCACACCAAACACGGAACGCGCATCAATCGCGAGTGATTTACATGTTAAGTCAATGCAAATGCGCGAATAGACATCCTGCGGCGCGATACGCAGGAATGGCGCGGAGAGAATGACGCAAATGGCGCGGTGCGAATAGCCTGAGGCGAATTGAGCGTTTGATGCGCTTAACGAGCGTTTTGCGCGAATCTCTCGAGTTCGAAAATCTGAACTTAAGCTGACATTCGCGTCACGTTAACCAATCAGAAGCTTGCTCTTGTGGGGGCGTGATTGTGACGTAGAACCTGTTGATGGTGTCCCGGGGCAAATCCTCCAGGCGACACCGACAACAAGTCATCAAACTGGGCTTGGCTCAGTCAGAGGCACAGCTGAAAGTCTCCGTCATCCAGGTTCAGTTTCTGGAGGAGTTTATGAGCTCACAGAGCTGGATGCACCTCTAAAAGGATGCAGTGGACTCATACAGGACCCTAAACGTATCGATGCTGTTTTTCAGTCTCCATAAAGCACAGTCACAGGGCAGACAGAAGCCCTGCCCATCACGCGAATCT